TGTTGAACTTTGAACCATCTTTTTTTTTTTTCTTCTAAGAAAATAAGATAATGTTCTGTTTCAAATTACTTAATTTTGGAATAGTATTAAAACTTTATAATAAGAACATAAGGAAAATTCTAATGTTGATATTCCTAGAGTCACTTTATTTTTTTATTTCTTATTAAGAATGTATTATAATCAATTTTTATATTAGATAACAAAAAATTATATTTCAAACAAAAGCTTAACATTTTAAATATATACCATCTAGAAGTTCAACTAGTATTTAATTTATATTAATAAGATCCAAACATAAATAAAATAGTTTATATATTGGATATTATATCTTATAGCATATAAAAGTGGATTTCATATATATATATATATATATATATATATTTGTATATAAATTTCTGAATTCAGCTCAGAAAAAGCTATATATAAATTAGTGTAAAAAAAAAAACCCTCTTAATCATCATTATAATTTGGAAAAACTTAATTACCATAAATTAATGACTTAATTAATCCCTTTTTTTTTTTTTTTTTTTTTTTTTCCTGGGGGGAGGGCAAAGAATAAGTAATAATCCATTTAGGTCTTTTCCTTGACTAACAAGTCCATCTATACAGAGGCATCTTCCCTCTTTAAGGGTCCCAATCTACTACTCTTCCTCACCTAGTTATATCATTATTTATACAGACGGAAAAAGAAAATTAATAACTTATATTATATATATACATATATATATATATAGACACCCAGGAAATTTCAATGGAAACTCCCCCAGAATTTGTTTACTCTCCTCGAGACTTCTTTTCTTTTGGAATCTTAAGTACTTGTGATTAGCTTAAGCAACTCTGTTTCCATGTGTATGTGTGCGTGTGTGTATATATATTAAGTTTGAGTATACTTATTAGCCAAGCATGTCTTCTATTAGTAAAAGTGTAAGCGGTAGTTCCAGTGAAGACGACGTCGTAGCAGAGCTTCGGAGAGGGCCATGGACTCTTGAAGAAGATACCCTTCTCGTTCATTATATCTCCTGCCACGGTGAAGGTCGATGGAACTTACTAGCAAAACGCGCAGGTAAAAAATATACACATATATGCATATATTTATATGTAAATATAAATATTGTTAATTCTATATTAATCTTAATTCTTTTTTCTGGGTGTTGTTGGGAATATTTAAAGGGTTGAGGAGGACAGGCAAGAGTTGCAGACTGAGATGGCTGAATTATCTTAAACCAGACGTGAAACGTGGAAATCTTTCTCCTCGAGAACAGCTCTTGATTCTTGAACTCCATTCTAAGTGGGGCAACAGGTAAAACTCATACGTACTCTATTATATGTTATATATTATATATGGAGAGAGAGAGAGAGAGAGTAATTAGTGCAAGAAAATGACAATATATATATATATTATATTTATATAAAGATATTGCTTATCGTAGGAGTAATTAAAGTTGGAGGGAATTTTGGATGTGGGTATGATTAAATTTTTTCTTTTTGTTTTTTGAATTTTAGGTGGTCGAAGATTGCTCAACATTTACCAGGGAGGACAGATAATGAAATAAAGAATTACTGGAGGACTCGGGTGCAAAAACAAGCTCGTAATCTGAACATGGAGGCAAACAGCCAGGCATTTCAAGATATGATCAGGTGTTTCTGGATGCCAAGGTTGCTTCAAAAAATTGAAGGCTCTGCAAATTCTTACCCGACCCAGTTCCAAAACCCGGAAAGCAACCCGCTACCGGCTCGAATTGTAAACCCGGATCCAGTTAATTACCAATTGGGTCAGAATCACCACGAACAGAGCTCGGATTCAGAGCACGGGACAAGCTCCTGCATTTCTTCCTCGGAGTCGATTAACATCTCTCATTTCTCGGAGTACCCGACGAGCCCGTTTCAGGCGAGCGATAGTCATGGATGGAATAATTGTTATCATGACGTGATGGAATCAATGAACATGGCGTATGCAAATCCAGTGATTGGAGATTTGGGGAACTATTACGATTACCCTGGCGCTGCTAGTGGTTGTCAAATGGATCATGGCAACTGGGTTGATGATGGGTTGGTGGTAGATCAGAGCTTGTGGAACAGTGATGATCAGTTGTGGAGGAATTTGCAAGAAAGGAGATGAAGAAGACGCTCTCGTTTCACTAGCTCAGATGAACCAGAATCATTTTTAAGTTCATTTTGAATTTTTGTTTTATAATTTTTTTTTTTTGACAAAGATTCAAAAGGAATTAGAAATTTTAAGTTATTATTTTTGATGTAATCCACAGAGTGATCGGAAATTATAATGGTGGGAATCTTGGATTAAATCCTAAATTTACGCACACTTAATTAAGGGTTTAAGAAATAGTTAAGGAAAAAGCAAAAGTAGAATTAGAAAAGAGTAAGTATTTAGTAAAGTGCTTTGAAATAGTAAAAACCCACTTGGGCATGATTCATGGCAGTAGCAATCCAATCTCTTTGTCTCATATGTTGTTCTCTTGGGATTAGTAGTGGGATGAGGAAGAAGTTTTGAGAAGTAAAATGATTAGTGGATTGAACATATTTTTCATTCAAAGAATTAAAGAAATTAAACAGCAATTTCTTTTCATCTGGTCCAGATAACTGTTTCTTTCCCTTTTGATTTTGATGTTCCCAATCAAATCAAACACGTTCATCAGGTTTCTACCGTCTAAAATCAGCCAATCCCCCCCTTTTTTTTTTTTGGCAGTAGTATATACATACATATATATATATATGGACAGGTTAAGATGTTCTCATATTCATGCAAGCCTAAATAAGATATCCTGCGTCTTGTTTATTTCTACGTATAATATAAGATATTTATATTTAATATGCAAATATCACGTAATT